TGACAAAGACTTCTTTTCCAGTTTTTTAAATTCGTTCTTTTTGGTTATGCATGACAGTAGAGTGCATTCTGACATATCGTACTCACATGGAGGATGACTTCCCATTCTTGTGGTTGGACACGATGTGGAGTTTCAGTGGTCGTGGGTTCCTGTAGGAACACAGGAAACTTATGTCTGATTTATTCCACAGTCTGTCTCATCCCTTCTCCCTTCCCCCCCACTCTGCCCCATCCAATCTGGTGAAACTTCACCCCCCGCCCACAACCTATTGTGAGTCCAAATCTGCATATCAGAGATAATATTCAGTCTTTGGTTTGGGGGGAATTGGTTGATTTCACGTAGCATGGTAGTCTCCAGTTCCATGCATTTACTGGCAAACGTTATGATTTTATTCTTTTTTAAGGCTGCGTAGTATTCCGTTGTGGATATGTACCACATCTTCTTTATCCCTTCATCTGTTGAAGTGCATCTAAGTTGGTTCCATGACTTGGCGACTGTGAGTTGAGCTGCTGTAAACATTGATGTGGCTGCGTCCCTGTAGTGTGATGCTTTTAAGTCCTTTGGGTATAGACCAAGGAGTGGGAGAGCTGGGTCACATGGTGGTTCCATCCTAAGGTTTCTGAGGAATCTCCATCCTGCTTTCCATATCGGTTGCACCAATTTGCAGTGCCACCAGCCGTGTCTGAGTGTGCCTTTCCCCACGTCCTCGCCAGCGCTCACTCTTGTCTGTATTCTTGGCAGATGCCATTCTGGCTAGATGAGATGGAATCTCAGTGTCGTTTTAATTCGCGTTTCTCTAATTGCTAGTGATGTTGAACATTTTCTCCTATATTTGTTGACCAGTCCTATTTCTTTTTTTAAAATCTTTTTCTAGTTGCAGATGGACACGATACCTTCATCTTATTTATTTTTTTAACGTGCTGCTGAGGATGGAACCCAGCGCCTCACACCTGCTAGGCAAGCGCTCCACCACCGAGCCACCGCCCCAGCCCCGCTCATGGGTCTTGTTCTGTGAAGTGCCTGTTCAGTGTCTTTGCTCATTTATTGATC